GGGAAATGATTTCCAATTTAGAAGTCTATACTTGGCTATACATTCACATAGGAAGAGTAACTGAAACTATTAAATGGTTTAAGAAAAAAAATAGTGTGTGTGCATGCTCATTTGTGTCTGACTCTTTGCGACCCTCTAGACTATAGCCCGCCAGGCTCCTCTGTCCACGGTATTTCCCAGGCAAGAATACTGGAGTGGGTTGCCATTTCCTCCTAGGGAATCTGCCCAACCCAGGGATCGAACCCACTTCTCCCGCATCTCTAAAACTGGCAGCTGGATTCTTTACCACTGAGTCACCTGGAAAGCCCTAAGAAAACAACATGCTTTTACTCGAGATAGAGAAAAGACATGATAAAGCAACTACAGCAAAAATGTTAGCAATCAGTGAATTGGTGAAGGGTATTAAGATTTTTGTCTTCCAAGTCTTTGTTTTGGAAAAAAAGAATAAGAATAGAATAAAGGAATTTTTAGGTGTGTAAAGACTCCAAAGTTCACTTTCTTACTAAATCACTGTAGCTGTTGTGTTCCATGCAAACAAGGAAGTGAAAAAACAAAGTGTAATCATGAGATCAAAAAAAAAAAAAAAACAGAGTCCAACATAGAAGAGAAGTGAAGGGTAGTCCTGGGAAGACAGCTATGTAATTGGTCTGGAGGGTAACCAGTCGACCAAGAGCAGGAAGACCAAGAACAGCAGGTTTATTTCAAATAACACATGGAATTGATAAATTAGCCATTTGAGTGGTTTGATAGTTCAGACAGAGAGTTTGGGAATGAATAAGTGGACAGGGCTTTAGAAAATAGAACAAACCAAAATTTGAGTTAATTATTAACTCCAGGGAAAATGAACAATTGCACCAGAAGGGAAATATAAATGATGTGGTTCAGTCATGAACAAGATTTATATGGATGCATTAATATAAAAATGAATATATAATATAATCACATTGGGAATGAGGGGCAGGAAATGGTGTATGAATGGAGGGTATAAAAGAGATCATTCTTCATCTTCCATGGTAAGAAATCAATAGATAATGTATAAAGATGGAAAAATCAAGAAGAGCAACAGAAGCCTATTATTTGGAAATAGAAAGGTAAACATGATAAAAAATGCTTAATAGAATTGAAGGCTGTTACTTCTGAGGAACGGGAATCAGAGTGAGAAGGGATAAGCAGAGGATCTGGATTTGCCTGGGGTAGTCCCAGTTTGTCCTTGATAGTTTGGCATAATTTTGTTACCATTGCCCCTTTCACTCTCAAAACTGTCCCAATTTTGAAGTCTTGAAGTGTTCTTTGACATAGATAATACTTTGATTTTTTTTTTAAAAGAGCTTCTTTGGTAGCTCAGATGGTAAAGAATCTGCCTGCAATTCAGGAGACCCACGTTCAATTCCTGGGTGGGGAAGATCCCCTGGAGAAGGAAATGGCAACCCACTCCAATATTCTAACCTAGAGAATTCTATGGACAAAGGAACCTGGTGGGCTACAGTCCCTGAGTTTGCAGAGTTGGACACAAAGAGCAACTAACACTTTGATAAAAATAAAATTCAAAGAGGCTCTTTGGACCCTAAATTAAATAATCTCATTTCATCCAGCTCAACCAGAGACCCTGACTTTCCCTTTCTCTAAAATTAATTCTTTATTTTAAATTAAATACAAGCAGTATGTCTGTTTCAAAGCAATTTTACATTCACTGCCTTATTTAATCCTTATAGCAAATGGCTTCATGGGGTAAGCAGCCTATCCTATTTTATAAGTGACAAAAAGGAGGTTTAGAGCCATCTTGTGACTTCTTAACAAGGTGACACAATAGTAGATATTAGTCTATCCTGGACCAAGCCCTCTAATTCTGGTTCCCATGCATTTGCCATAATACCAAATGACAAGGCATTTCAGCTATCCCACGAATGAACAGAATCTGAGATGTAAAATCAAGAACCCAGACTAGCAGGCTAGCTGTTAGAAAAACCAGGTTAGGAAAAACAATAAATAATCCAAACATCCTTTGGTCATCTTGGTCTTTGAACAGAAATTCTACTAAATCTGCCCAGTTGGGCAGAGTAGACACTGAAATCGTCCTCATGGGATCCCACATGCCACAACTAAGTGTTTGCATGTTGCAACTGAAGATTCCACTTGCCGCTGTGAAGACCCCACATGCTGCAACTAAGACCCTGTGTGACCACATAAAGAAATACATTTTTTGAAAGCAAAGAACTAAAGAGACTCTTGATGAAAGTGAAGGAGAAGAGTGAAAAAGTTGGCTTAAAACTCAACATTCAGAAAACTAAGATCATGGCATCCGGTCCTATCACTTCATGCCAAATAGATGGGGAAACAGTGGAAACAGTGACAGACTTTATTTTGGAGGGCTCCAAAATCACAGCAGGTGGTGACTGCAGCCATGAAATTAAAAGACACTTGCTCCTTGGAAGGAAAGTTATAACCAACCTAGACAGCATATTAAAAAGCAGAGACATTACTTTGCCAACAAAGGTCCATCTCGTCAAAGCTATGGTTTTTCCAGTAGTCATGTATGGATGTGAGAGTTGGACTATAAAGAAAGTTGAGCACCAAAGAATTGATGCTTTTGAACTATGGTGTTGGAGAAGACTCTTAAGAGTCCCTTGAACTGCAAGGAAATTCAACCAGTCCATCCTAAAGGAAATCAGTCCTGAATATTCATTGGAAGGACTGATGCTGAAGCTAAAACTCCAATACTTTGGCCACCTGATTTGAAGAACTGACTCACTGGAAAAGACCCTGATGCTGGGAAAGATTGAAGGCAGGAGGAGAAGGGGATGACAGAGGATGAGATGGTTGGATGGCATCACTGACTGGATGGACGTGAGTATGAGTAAGCTCTGGGAGTTGGTGAGGGACAGGGAAGACTGGCGTGCTGCAGTCCATGAGGTTGCAAAGAGTCGGACACAACTGAGCTACTGAACTGAACTGAACTAAACCTTGAGGGAACAAGGCCACAGCTGTTGGGAAGGGATGCAGTTAAACACAAAATGTCAAAAGTGTTCTTCAATAACTCCTTTCCAGTCCTCACCTCAATTTTCCCCACTTGCCCCTCTAAGAACCCGCCTGCCAATACAGGAGACATAAGAGATACAGGTTCAATCCCTGGTCAAGAAGATTCCCTGGAGCAGGAAATGGCACCCCACTCCAGTATTTTTGCCTGGAGAAGCCCATGGACAGAGGAACCTCGTGGGTTATAGTCCATAGGGTTGCAAAGAGTCAGACAGGACTGAAGCTACTTAGAACACACACGCCCCTCTTTTATAATTGTATTTGAGTTTTTGGTCAGTCTTTCCTTACCAGTGAGTACAATTTGAGGTGAAGAACCTCATTTTATATGTCAGAGTTTGGACAGCATTATTATCCAGTAACAACATCACTGTGACATGTCCAAGGATTCTGAAATTTCAGAACCAAGCATTTTAGAACATCTAATACAGTCTCCCACATTGATCTGCCAGCCCCAGAAACAAAGCCACACTGAGGCTAGTTAAGACACAGAAGCAGAGGCCAAGAGCTGATCATACATTTCTACACTCCTCTGATTCTTTCTCCCTGCCCTGTGTCAGTCCCTACTAAATCCTCTTCCAGCGGCTGGACACTGAGATGCCCTTGCTTCCTTTATTTTAAAAGGGTACTCTGAGGATACATTCCCACAGACTATTCTTTGCCTTCCATTCCTAATTGGCTTCAAGACTGCAGATCAAACCCCCATTCTTCCTACAACTTTCACCCCTAGTTCAAGACATTCAATCGCTTTGCACAATAGCTAACATTTCTCTTGTAATTTCTGGGTCTTTTTTTCCCTCATAAAGGGGCTGGTAGAAGCCAGCCTTACTGATTTTATGTATGCAATCCCCTTCTCCCTCAAGACTGGCAGAGAGATTGACATGAAGAGTACGTTCTATTGGGGTTAAATACAGAACCTCCTACTGTGTGCTAAACCACATTACTCATTTCATACAAGTTCCTCTTGCTAGTGGTGCCTTACTCAGGGAGGGTAAGGAAAGAAAACGGCAAGGAAACTTTGCACTGGTACATATCCACAGGCAACAACCCCTTGTCCTGGGAACTCAGTGCTTCAATACTTGGCTTTTTATCACTCTTGAGACTGAAAAGGCAAGGAGTGAGGAGGGCCTTGAAATGGACAGGGACTGGTGGGCCTAATTCTGGTTCTCCTTTTGGCCGAACTTCTTCCAACACATAAAAGCACAAGCTACTACATCCTCACCTAAAGATGGCAAATCATTGTTTTCCAGGTTTCACCTTCTACCACCTCAAACCAACTGTGCCAAGATTTCCCCAGTTAATCAGGACTCAGCAAAAACGTACATTTTGATTTTTACCTATTTTAAGAGGATAATTGTTCTGTCGCTCTTTGCATGTCTGACTCTTTGCGACCCCCTGGACTGCAGCACGCCAGGCTTCCCTGTCCTTCACTATCTCAGGGAGCTTGCTCAAAGTCAAGTCCATTGAATCAGTGTGGACATCCAACCATCTCGGTCTGCATCGTCCCCTTCTCCTGCCCTCAAATTTCCCAGCACCAGGGTCTTTTGTAATGAGTAGGTTCTTCGCATCAAATAGTCAAAGTATTTGGAGCTTCAGCATCAGGACTTCCAATGAATATTCAGGGTTGATTTCCTTTAGGATTGACTAGTTTGAATTAGCTGCCCCGTTTTTACCGAAAAATACACAAAGCGACACAGTCCTAAGTCCTACCTTCAGACAAGATCAATCACTAAAACATGTGCAAGGCAAAAGAAAGGCGAGAGCAAAAGACATTGGAGAGGCAACTTCGGGAGCGCTCTGGAGGACGCACCGCGTCTGCGGATGGGCTCTGCTTGCTCGCCCCTAGGCTGAGTCGCCCAGCTCCTTCCGCGCACCCGTCCCTCAAAGCCGCCCACGGGCGCTCCCGTCTTGGCCCCGCCCTCGCCCCGCCCTCCCCTTGGCCCCGCCCTCCTCCGGCCCCGCAGCCGACGTCAGTTGTTATGTCTCGGCTCTGGCCGCGGCCGCAGCTGATCCTCTACTCTGGAGGCGACGGTCGCGGCCTCGTGAGGTGGCGGGGACGTCGGAGACGGCGGCCGAGACCCGCGCCTCCCATCCGAGCCGGGCGGCACTTTCGTGACCGGGAAGCCGCCCGATAGCCGTCCGGGGCCTATTTCTGCTTTTTTTCCCCCCTCCCGGACCGTCGTCTCGCGCGCCCCCATTTCCTTCTGCAGAGACTGCGACGCCCCCTCCCGGGCCGGGCGGCGTCGCGGTGCCCGCCCGCTTGAAAGGCGCAGAATGCCGGCCTGAGCGAACCTGGAGCCGCCGCCGTCGGCGTGTCCGCCGTGCTTCTCGCGGAGCCTGGGCGGCCGGCGGGGCCTGGGGCCTGGGCGCCGGGTGCGGCGCTGCAGCGGCCGCTCCTCCCCGCGCTGGGCCCCGGGCCTGGCCCGGCCGAGCGCCGCGCCCTCCTGACCGCGGCCGCTGGAGCCTGGCCTCGGCCCGGCCGGCCCCATCCGCCTCCTGGGCCCGCCGTCGTCCGGCCCCGGTCTGCAGCCCGACCCCCGCTTCCTTTGTGGACCTGAATGATTTTTTTTTTTTTTTTGCCTCCCCCTTCCCTAAGATCACGGTGCTGGAAGGCCGATCCCGCCACCTCGATCAGTGCCCCTCCGCCCGGGGAAACGGCCCTCCTCTTGTTTTTCCCCGCTGGCTCTTCCCGCGCCGCCCTTCTATCGGGGTTTAATGGAGTTTTTTTAGTTTTTTTCCCCTTTATTTTTCTCGCCTCTTGACAGGAAGGCCCCTCGCGAGTCCCTGCGTCTCTGCCCCTGGTCATCTGTTCCTCACCCCCACACATACCACCCCCCAGCCACCCCGGTCCACCTGCCTCCCGCCGGGGATGGCCCCGCAGTGACGGCAGCCGGGACCCCACGGCGAGCTGGTGCCCTCGCCCACGCACTCCCCGAGTCTACCCTTCTCCTCTCCGTATTCTGAGCTCTCTGAAAAGAGAGGAGACGCAGGGGAAGATGTGGCTGAAGCTTTTTTTCTTGCTCCTCTATTTTCTGGTCCTTTTCGTCCTGGCCAGGTTTTTTGAGGCCATTGTGTGGTATGAAACTGGCATCTTTGCCACCCAGCTGGTGGATCCGGTGGCGCTGAGCTTCAAGAAGCTGAAGACCATCCTGGAGTGTCGGGGGCTGGGGTACTCGGGGTTGCCCGAGAAGAAGGATGTCCGGGAACTGGTGGAAAAGTCAGGCAAGTATCTGCTCCCCGAGGGTCCCCTCTACTCGTAGGGGAGAGGGGTGGTCTCCCAGGATGAGTCGATACCTCGAAGGGTTAAGTAGGTTGCTTCCAGAGCCGCCTAGATTTTCTTTGTCCAGTTTTTCTATAAAAAAAAAAACAGGAGTAAACCCCAGTTTTCAGAAGGGGCCTGGAGTTATTTGTAGGGGTGTTGGCGTGTCTTCCTAAGATTATTTTAAAATAACAGTTTCAAGTGCAGCTTCTTAGCGTTGTTTATGGAGTGGTTTTTTCAAAATTCGGGAATGTCAACCAGTCACAAACTGGAAAGCATGATTTGTCAGTTGAAATTCATAAGGCTATAAGAAAAGAAGAACCTCCAAAACGTTGTCTATGGATCGAAGCATTTGTCATGGTAGTAATAGCAAGTTACCCGGAGGGAAAAACATTCCTGAAATATTTAATATCAAAGAAGCATTTAGGCCTAGGATTTCAATTTTATTTTTTCTTCCAATTTTATTGAGATATAATTGACGTGCAGCACTGTACAAGTTTAAAGTGTGTAGCATGATGATTTACATATGTCATGAAATGGTTACCACAGTAAGTTTAGTGAACGTCAGATGCCAAATTAAATGGAAAAACATTTTTTTTTAAGATTTAAATTTGAAATAATGAGTTTAAATTTGGAGAAAGTGTACATGGCGCAGTATTAGCTTTTCATACTTTAAATTTGGTGAAAATAAGGTGAATTTTTTGTGGAATGCCTACCTTGTTTGTTTTGAAATAGTTTATTTCTATTTCTGTAATGATTTTTTTTAATTGTATCTTGGATGAAAACTGTTTTTTCCCTTCTGTACCACAGGCACTGCTGTATCAACTTAAATGGGTTGAGAAGTAGAACTAAGCCAAGAGACTTTTAACATGTTAACGCTTGCAATTGCAGTAACTGTTAGTTTTGGGGTAGGATTTGAGTGAGAAATACGCTTAATTTTTTTCACCCCTGGACAAAATATATCTTTGTTTAGACACACTTCCTGGAAGGGGGGTGGGGGTTACTGTAATTTGAGAAAGGCATTTTTGGGTTGCTGTAGGAAGCAGTTGAAACTGATAGTTAACTTTTTTGTTGTTTCAAGTATATCTGTCTGCTGTGTGTCTTTTATAAGACAGTTTTTTTCCTTATTTAGTATCTTAGAGCCATGCAATGTGGTAGACAAGAATACTAACTTCAGAGGACTTTAGCACCCACATGTTTGTTGGTTACGGTTAGGTTCATTACTGGGACAGAAGAGTAAACATTTTCTGTAAAAGTGATACATTTTTTTCTTTAAAGAAAACAAAGTTGTGTGTTATTTGCATAAAATTGTGCCTCTTGTTTACTGACTGGTTTTTGATTACTTTTATTTATCCCATGGCAGGGATATAGTGTACAGGGAATAGAGTAAGGTAAAAGATCTCTAATAAATAAACTTTCTAGGTTTAGGGGTAAAAAGTGCCTTAACTGCCCAAGCCAAATCATTTTTCATGATAAAGTGATTTGATAACACATTTTTTTCTTTTAATTTTGATTTTATTTAGCATTGCCTTCCTTTGGCCCTGAAAATGCTTTTAACTTTGAGCATGCAAAGAGTGCACATAATATTTAAAGAATACACACAGCCCACAAAAGTATGGCTCAGATCCCATGTTTTATAGCACATCCCACAATTTATAAAGCAGTTTAACTTTATAATTTAAGTATTTGCTGTGAATGGTTTTGCTGCTATCATGATATGGCGCTTGTTTTTGCCTTGTGAACAGTTGACAAAAGTTAATTTGATGGTAGTGTTTTTCTTATTATTTGATGGTACAAACTATAAATTTACACTGTAAATGTGTATGAATATGAAATTTGTTCTTACAGATAATCTTTTGTATCTGACCTTTAAGTCACATAAGCCTTGTTGCTATTTTATGCAGGTGATGACGGTCAATTTTGTAAACCCATTTCTAATTCTTGTAAGTCAGAAGTATATAAATCATTCTGTTTAAAAATTTGATACCTGGACACAAACTAAATAATACTGTGATGGCTTTGGGGGCTGATATAAATTCAGTAATTTCCTAATGAATTATGTGATAACCCCAGGTCTGTTTTGTTCATTTTTGCCTGACACATAGAAGGTTCTTACATAATTAATGAATGTGTGAATATTAAACAGATGTATTCATGTTCTACTCTTCTGTAGAATGCAGTGAAAGTACAATGACATCATATAAAATAGAATTGATTATTGAAACATGAGATTTTTGAAATCTTATTAATGTTTTTTCCTTTTCTTCAGGTGACCTAATGGAAGGTGAGCTTTATTCTGCACTCAAAGAAGAAGAAGCATCTGAATCTGTTTCTAGTACCAATTTCAGTGGTGAAATGCACTTCTATGAGCTTGTAGAAGACACAAAAGATGGCATCTGGCTGGTTCAGGTATTAGAAACAGTGATAGAAGTGAAATAATTGTTACCAAAATAGTAGTCACCAGCTGGTGACCCTTCTGTGTACTTGTGTCATCTTTCTTAGACATAATCAGTTCTCATGGGGAGACTTCAGTGTCCACTTTAAGAGGTTTTGCAGAACAAGGAAAACAAACATTAATTAAAGAGTCGGGGAAGGGAAGTGTTGGGGAAAGAAAGTTGGACTGTTTAGAATCAGGAGAAGCAAATCCATTTTTGTTGTCAGAGCTTCATTAAGAAACACATGTATTCCTTTTATTTAGTGATTTGTGCTTTTTCTCCCAGTTTTTATTCAGTGATCCAAATCATTTTTGTTTGTAAAGAAAAAACCCTAAAGTAAAAGTAAACGAGTTCTTCTGTTAGGGAAATAGCCAACTGTGTGCCTATAGAAGAAGCAGTGTTGTGGGAAATGGCAGGGGGCTTACTCCTTTGCTCATGAAATTGATAAGATTATAATTTTAGACCCAGGCTCTTATGCTGTCAAAACTGTGAGAGTTAGTTAGCAAGGAGAATTTTAGAGCTGTGAAGAGCCTTTAAAAAAATCATCTTTAATGCTTCTGAAATGGTGGTTTACGTATCACTCATAGTAAATGAGTGGACACACAATATCATTTGTGTATTTTCTGTAAAGTAGAAAAATAAGTATTGAACATGTAATTTCATAAACGTTGCTGAGAGAAAGTCTAAAGTTATTTAAATTTTTAAAAAGTAACTTCACTTAAAGTAACATCTTAAATAAATTACAACATTAATTCAGCTAAAATTATAGTTATTGAACCAGGATCAAATCCCAGGTCCCCTGATTTCTTGTCCAGTGTTCTTGCCATTTCACATTGGGGTTGGCAAAGTTTGGTTCAGGGCATAGGAAACAAGATGGCTGCTGCTTCATATTTCTTTTTTGAGAACAATGACTGCAAAATAAGGTAGAAAAACCTGGGAGTTGAGAGACCTTAGCTGCGAATCTGGTCCTGTCACTGATTTGCAATATGATTGTGGCCAGATTTTCTGTTGCACGTGGCCTCAAATAAATACATTTACACCTGAAGAAGATAGAATAGTAGTCCCCAAACTGTTGACGTTTGGAAATTCTTTAGGTGATTGCATTGGATATCACATGACCTTTCCTTTACTTGCAGTTTTCCTACAGTATTTGACCATTTATCCTCCAGATAATCTATTAATAATTTGACATTTCTAAAATTCAGCAAGCAGAAAAACTGGGAGGAGTGTATGGGTACTATCTATACATTATCCATCAAATTCTAGTCTATTTCTTTGTTATATTATTGGTAATGAAAAAATAAACTGTAGCATCTTTAAAGCCTTAATTTATAAATAGTTATTGTTTCTTTCCCCAGATATTTAGTTCTGATAGTCTGATTGAGGAAGACTTGTGGGTTTGGTTTTGGTAATTTCAGTTTTATTACTGAGATTGAACTGAACAGCCAGTCCCACTGCCCTATGTGTTATGTTTGTCCATGTTTGTCATTGAACAGCCCCATAGAGATGAGTGATAAAGAGGCTGAACACCTTCCAAAACTGGAAAACCTACGGCAAAAGTCTGGAAATTCTTTTGGTGTATAGAGTGTTGTCTATAGACAACAAACACATTCTGCTTCACTAATTTACAACATAGTCTTAGCTTCTAAATGACCTATTATTTTTTGATATCGTATTAAAGATAAACATGGATTAAACTCCCTTAATACATTACAAAATTCATCCAGTTTATTCATCAGTTAATTGTGCACAAGGCCAGAGATACACAAGAACATACACTAGCCTAGCTCCTTGCTCTCTGAGGCAACTCACATTCCAGTTGGGAGAGGGAGGTGCTAACTAAATAAATATTTAATATAACATCAGTTAATGGTAAGTGCTAAGACAAATAAGCAGAGTAAGGAGACAAGAGAGTGGCAAAGAATTCTCTAATGTGACATTTGAATGAAGTCAAGAACAAGTAATGAATGGTAGTGAATGTTAATGTTATAAATTCTTATCACCGAGTTATTTTTCCCTGAGAATGTTTTTTTAAACTTCATAAGTGTTAATAGTTAATGGTGCAGTAGGACACAGTTTTTCCAGTGACCTTAAAGATTTGCACTCATCACCACTGTCTGGCTTGTGTTCCCCTGGGCCAGTGGCTTGTATCTGTCAAATGGCTGGTTGGGTTGAAAGAACAGTCTCTGGCAGGACAACTGAGAAGACTGAGATTGAAACCTCAGTTACAGTGTCCTCAGCACTGAACTCACCAGCTAAGCTAATCGGCACAGACACTTTGGCTCTTAAAAGAAAGTTGTGTTGTTGTTGTTTTTAATTGAAAACACCTACTCAAAACAGAAGAGAAATATTTTCTCAATTGCTTGTCATTCTTTCAGTTCAGGTTATATCTCTTTGATCTTTTGTGAAGGGCAGCATTCAGGGTTTCAGTTTTTAACTATTTGAATTATCAATCTTTTGTTTGTTTTGAAAGAAATAGACTCATTTCAGTTTGCTCTGTCATTGCTGCTGTTGCTGTTTTAATCTGTGAGGGTGTATAGAACCCAACCAATTTAGTGTTCTTATTGCATTTATTTTAGGTAGCTTGTGTAAGAAATATTTAAGCATATCAAAATTCTTTTTATTTTCCCTCCCAGGTTTCTAATATCATTTTCTTACTCAGATGAATTATACTCTCCTTCTGTGTTTATTGAAGAAAAATGTAATTAGGTAGCATATAATTGGTAATTAGCACTTTATACTTCATATATTATGTTATTGAAGGGATCTCTCGGTATACTGATTTAGGGGGAAAAGTGACTTTAATAAATGGATATTGTTGTTGTTTAGTTGCCACTTTATGTCTAACTCTGTGACCCACATGGACTGTATTTAGTCCTCCAGGCTCCTTTGTCTGTGGGATTTCCCAGGCAAGAATACTGGTTGTTGTTGTTCGGACAACAGAATACTGTTGCTAAGCCATGTCCAACTCTTTGTGATCTCATGAATTCCTGTCCTTCACTATCTCCACTGTGATATAATAGTGGATAGAATACTGGAGTGGGTTGCCATTTCCTTCTCCAGGGGATCTTCCTGACCTAGGCATCAAAGCCGCATCTCCTGCATTACAAGTAGATTCTTTACTGCTGAGCCACCAGGGAAGCCCAACATAAATGGCTGTATGACTTAGCTATTCCATTACTTAATTCATTCTTTTTCTGGAATGGATTGGTAATCTAGATTGATTGATTACTTTTTTTAGTGACACTGCATGTGGAATGATACTACAAAAGGAAAAACTAGTTTCTGTAATTTAATTAGCTCATTCTGTATCCATTATGAGGAAGGAAATAGCAGCCCACTCCAGTATTCTTGCCTGGAAAATCTCGTGGACAGAGGAGCCTGGTGGGCTATAGTCTATGGAGTCGTAAAGAGTCGAACACAGTTGAGCGATTAAGTACACACTATGATTTCTGTCTTCTCAGTAACTGATGAGTTTATTTTCCGAATCATACATGTTGATGGTCTTCATATCTTTCTGTTAATTGTTTTAAGATGTATTAGCACTCATGAATTAGCCTTACATTAAAATATTAGCATACTTCTTTTAAGAAAATATTTACTTATTTTCCAGCATGCAGGATCTTTAGTTGTGGCATGCAAACTCTTAGTTGCTGCATGTGGGATCAAACCTTGGCCCCCTGCATTGGGAGCACAGTCTTAGCCACTGGACCATCAGGAAAGTCCCTATACTTCTTTTCATGTGAAACTTTTCCATGGTTCTCCTATATTCTCTGTAATATGAGGTGGAAAGAACTAATTTTAGTTTCTAAGGCAGCAGTACATATAGGACATATTTACCAATAATACACTATGTAATCTATGAAAGAACCAAATCATCTTTTTTCTGTCAGCTCTTTCTAACTTTCTAAGTTTTCCTGCTCTGTTCCTAACCTAACCTTGTATCTTTCATTAGTTATTTATTCCCAGTTGTGTAGATTCTTTGATGCTGCTGCCAACCAATCTTTTTAACATCACAAATAGAAGTTTCTTTTCATTCATTATATTCTTGCTCAGAGAGGCAGATGGAATAGTACATAGGCTTCTGAAATGAAGAAGTTAGCATACATTATGGGTTTTATGGATTTATCCTGTTCTTAACATTTCTATTCCTGTATTTTGACTTTTGTTCAAAAAAGTTCAAAGTTGGACTGTGCTATCTGTTCTCTACTGGCTCTGTCACATCATAAGGAATTTAGCATCACTGTAGTTGAGGTAGCAATGAAAAGCATATGCTTTAAAGTAAAGCTTTAGGTCAATATTTATTGAAGTTATTATGTTAATATAGTTCCTGATTGGCTGAAAAGAGTTATTAGCTGTTTTAAAACTTTATTTTTTTACTCCTAGATAGTAGTTTTGTTCAAGGAAATTAACTTATTTATTGCTCTCGTAACACAATGTAAAGGTGAAATACTTGGTAAGTCTTCCTTTATTTTGTATTAGTGAAAAGCTTTTATTTGTGTTTACTCATAAAGAAAGCTAGTGAGGCTACCAAAGAATTAAATGATGTTGAGTTTTGGTTTTATCAGTTAATCATCTTCACCTAATGATCTTATACAATTTGCATATATATATTTAGATTGTCTATGATTTTTTTTAAAGTAGAAAACTCCTTGTTATAATGCAATATTGAGAGATGCAGAAAATACCATAGTTCTGCACTCCTTTTATATAGAGTTGTTTAATTTAGCCTCCATGTTGTATGAGGATTGACAGTATTAAAAGGGATATAACAAATGTTCTGATTAGTAATAAAACCCACCTCTGAAAAATAGGCAAGAATGTGTAGGTTTTTTCTTATACAAATGTAATACATGTGGAAGGAACCCAGCAATAACCTGAGACCTGGTTTCTCTTTGGAAGCTTAACTGGACTGTACAAGTTTGTCATCAGAAAATATGGGAATTTAGTGTTTCACACTGTCCAACTCAGTTTCTTCCAGTGTGTGCTGAACCCAGCATCATGAAGGACGATTGTTAACATCTCTTCCCAATTCCACATTTAGAAATATCACTTTAGTAACTTGAAATTAGCTGTGTGGGAGGAAATCCATAAATGACAGAAATCAGGACTTCCATTTTCTTCTAAAGAGCTCATAGTTAAACATTTACCAGCCAACCACTGGTTTCATCCATTCATCCAACCATCTAACAAATATTTATTGAAATATAATGTGTGCCAGCTGAACCTTGTGATGAGGGCAAAAAAGATGAGTAACCTACAGTCTGTGCCATAAAACAGCTTGCTGTTTGGTTTACTAAAATGTGTGGGCCAATAAAAAATGTTAGCGTAGATTATGTTTCCCAACTAATAAGTTAGGTGGTCTGTAATGGTGCTGCCATCTTGAGAAATCCTAAAGAACTCTTAGACAATGAAGTGGAATCCAGGAAAATTAGTACTAGGAAAAATTTAGTAGTTTTTCTCCTGGAAAAAAGTATATTTTTAAATACACTAAATTGGAAGTCTTTATATGTAACTGGACCCAAGAACATTGATGTGCAATAGCATAACCAGGTATTAGTTATGCTAATGTTTGTCAGAAAACATCCCAGGTGACAGGTTGCTGGGGAAGGAATTTTCATTCTAACAGAAGTCAGAGACTTGGAGCCTTTAGATAACCTATGTAATCTGAAGTAAAATAATGAGTTCAGTCGCTCAGTCATGTCCGACTCTTTGCGACCCCTTGAACTGCAGCATGCCAGGCCAGCCTGTCCATCACCAACTCCCGGAGTCTATCCAAACTCATGTCCATTGAGTTGGTGATACCATCCAACTATCTCATCCTCTGTTGCCCTCTTCTCTTCCTGCCCTCAATCTTTCCCAGATCAGGGTCTTTTCTAATGAGTCAGCTCTTCACATTGGGTGACCAGAGTATTGGAGCTTCAGCTTCAGCATCAGTCCCTCCAGTGAATATTTAGGACTGATTCCCTTTAGGATTGACTGGTTTGATCTCCTTGCACTCCAAGGGACTCTCAAGAGTCTTTTCTGGTACCACAGTTCGAAAGCATCAATTCTTTGGCACTCAGCTTTCTTTATGGTCCAACTGTCATATCCATACATGACTACTGGAAAAACCATAACTTTGACTATGCCTGTAGAGGCAAATAAAATTTTCTCTTTTTTTTTTTGCAATGCCTAAGGGATTTTTCATTTTTATGTGGTTCTGTTAGTCAGGAATTATTAAACTCTTAAAAGCAGATGTTAGAATAGCTTGCATAAATAAGGCCCTGGGGTTTAACACTGCCATGTACCTGCTTCAGGGATGTTCCCATTTCTCTTCACACACTGTTGCCTGTGCAACCAACCAGGGATGGTTATATCAGTTATAGCAACCTAAATTGGTAAACCCCTTGACACAGTGTCATTGTAAATACAGACCTGAAGTGTTTGGGTTATTTGCAGCCTTGCTCAGGAGATAAGAGTGAAAGGGGAGTTACTAAAAACAACAACAGAGACTATGGCAATATGATTTTACAGAGATTTTTTTTAAACCTGAGTAATCTGAAAAAGAAGTCAAGATTTCTTTGATTACTTAATGGATAAAAGAGCTACCATATTGACTCTTCAGTGGTAGGAAAAGAAGAGAAGAGAAAAACCTCTCTTCTTGGATCTCCCTTATTCAGATAAAATTTATAAAGTACTTTTAGACAACAGAAAACTGGAGGCTCGGAACTTATTGGGTAATGTACTTGTGTGAACCTCCTTAGAAAGCATTTTTACCTACTAAGACCATGTCCTCAAATTGCCCTCCTGACTACCTCAGCCATCTGAGCATTTTGATAATACATGTCTCCCTCCATGAGGCCTTTTATTTTCATTTAAGAGTACTGTCAGAGCCATTAGTTCCATTCCTTAAGTTGTGTATTTGTGAATGTATTTATTAAGCATCAAAGTTACATTACAAAATGTTACATACCTATGTGTGTCTTTGTAGGTATAAGAATGATAGTATCAGTGATATATGGCAAGGGTTATTAGACAGTAATCTGTTGGCACATAACGTGAACTTTTTTATTTATTTATTTTTGGCTACACTGGGTCTTTGTTTCTGTGAGTGGGCTGTCTCTAGTTGCAGGGAGCAGGGGCTAGGCCAGTTGCGTGGTGTGCAAGCTTCTCTTGTGAAGCATGGGCTCTAGGGCTTCAGTTGTAGTGCACTGGGTTTAGTTGTTCCTCAGCATGTGGAAATCTTCCCAGACCAGGGATCAAACCCCTGTCGCTTGCATTGGCAGGCAGATTCTTAACCACTTAGCCACCAGAGAAGTCCTAAAGTGAACTTTAAGTCACTCTTCACCATCATGCAGCTTCTCTCCTCCTGGTGCCCTTGAAATTTGTTAGACTTCCCAGTGGAGAGCCCAGACATGAGGTGTTTGCACCATCTCTTGCCTCACCCAGACACTCATTGCACACACTCACTCCCCTGGGATTTCACTTGCTGGAGGCTTTGTGAAAATGGAAATGGCCCTTCCTTCCAGATAGTTTAGTGGCCCCCAGAGTATTGTCCTATAATGTTGAATTAAATAGTATCAGTACTGTAACATTCATGAAAAGTAACTTGGCCTATATACCCTTGGCTTAAAATACATCAAATATATGGATTCATGAAGACATAGGACATTTTTGGCTTTCCTTTAAGTTCTCAGTTATTTATGGTTTTAATTTTTGTTTTTAATATATAATTTTTGTTTGTTTTTCTGATATCTCTATTGAAATTCCCTTAAAGTAGGAAGATAGAGAATAAAGGGAAAAGGTATTAACAATTAGAAAGGCTGAGAAAGAAGTCCTTACATATTTTGAAGGTTAACCTGTAGTTTTCTTTTTTAAAAAAATCTTTTTCTTCTTCCAATCCTAATTGTCTTTGAAAGCTATTTGAAAATTTGAAGTTAGAAGTTCAAGAATGTAGAATTTATTAGTGGTAATTTTTTTATATGTTAGAATCTTTTATGATTGTAAGAAAAATGCCATAGAAGTAGTAGTATTGATTCAGTCAGTTCAGTTCAGTCGCTTAGTCGTGTCCAACTCTTTGCGACCCCGTGAACCGCAGCATGCCAGGCCTCCCTGTCCATCACCAACTCCCAGAGTCCACCCAAACCCATGTCCATTGAGTCGGTAATGCCATCCAACCATCTCATCCTTTGTCTTCCCCTTCTCCTCCTGCCCTCAATCTTTCCCAGCATCAGGGTCTTTTCAAATGAGTCAGCTCTTCGCATCAGGTGGCCAAAGTACTAGAGTTTCAGCTTCAACATCAGCCCTTCCAATGAACACCCAGGACTGTTCTCCTTTAGGATGGACTGGTTGGATCTCCTTGCAGTCCAAGGTACCCTCAACAGTCTTCACCACCACCACAGCTCAAAAGCATCAATTCTTCAGCACTCAGCCTTCTTTATAGTCCAACTCTCACATCCATACATGACCACTGGAAAAACCATGGCCTTGACTAGACGGACCTTTGTTGACAAAGTAATGTCTCTGCTTTTTAATACGCTGTCTAGGTTGATCATAACTTTTCTTCTAGGGAGCAAGCGTCTTTTAATTTCATGGCTGCAGTCACCATCTGCAGTGATTTTGGAGCCCAGAAAAATAAAGTCAACCACTGTTTCCCCATCTATTTGCCATGAAGTGATTGGCCTGGATGCCATGATCTTAGTTTTCTGAATGTTGAGCTTTAAGCCAACTTTTTCACTCTCCTCTTTCACTTTCATCAAGAGACTCTTTAGTTCTTCAGTTTCTGCCATAAGGGTGGTGTCATCTGCATTCAGTCAAACATAGTTTAATAGAAAACATGTGTTTGACTCTTGGCTCCATAATTATACTTTAGAAAAAAAGTGAAATTTGAACTTGTTGAACCCACACGTGGTCATTTTTAGTAAGCTCTATTTGGGTTATTTAAATTTTTCTTTTCAGAGCAGAGAAATGACTCCAAGGTCCATTTTCTTCACAAGTTAATTCTAGAGAATAGGCTACATGGAGGAGAATATGGCTCGCTTTTTAATTTGGTTTTGATCCCCTTATGTGTAACTGCCACAGAGTATGAGAATTCCCACAGTGTTTTAGATCTTTTCCAGTAGAACCTCTGCTTTTTCTTACAAGAAGTGCAGTGATAATATGATCATCCACTTAACAAGACTTAGGGATAGAATATGTTTTTCAGAAAAAGTAAATAGATGTAAATGGTTGGTTTGACGCCATTTTAGGTGATTAAAGTTTCTGTTTTCTTTCTTGGGAATAGGTCATCGCAAATGACAGAAGTCCTTTGGTGGGTAAAATCCACTGGGAGAAAATGGTGAAAAAGGTGTCGAGATTTGGAATACGTACAGGCACGTTTAATTGCTCCAGTGACCCCAGGTAAGTTGATGCCAATTCTTAGAATTTGAGTTCTGACCAGAAGTTTTTAATAAAGACAGTGGTATTAGAAGCCTGTTTGAAAATTAATCAGCATGCTTAGCACAGTGTTAGTTACACGGATGCTTGATTAATAGTTTTTGATCACTGGCAGTTATTTACTTTCTTTCAGATCTCTTTTTATCTGATTCTCCTGTGCTATTTCTAACAGGGTGACTCTTTAGAGTATGTCTTTGATCTTTTTTGTTTCAATTTTATTTCCCAAAGAGACTTCAGTACATTTATGGCTTTAGGTGACACCTTTGTGCTAATCTAAATCTTCCTTAATTTGAACTTCTAGTTTGCATTTTGACACTTGTTTCCATCTGCCCTACGAGTAATGCAGATGGAATATGTTCCCTAAACCTAGTGTTCAAATTCATATTCATCTTTTTCTTTAGTAAATCATGTGTCCTTTCTGCCTTTTCTGTCCTTTACTGTTTCTTTTTTTCATTTTCTCAGACAAGAATCTTTGCAGGCGTTTTTGTTTTTCTTTTTGTCATCATCTCCAGTATTTAGTCTGTCACATTATATTGTTTTACTATCCCATTGTTCTTCAAAATGCATTTTATTTGAATTTCTAGTGCCTCCAAGTTATAACTTGAATTAATTTTATTTAATTATCCAGTTAATAAATATTTAATGAAGGATTAGCATGTACAGCATGTTCTGTTTAGTGCTGAGGACAGGGCGTAGCATATGTACATAGAAACCCCCATGTTAGGTAGTTTCTAATGTAGGTAGACACGCTTGTTACCTATGTCCCTTTTATGTGGTCACAGTGAGAGACCCATTGGCTGAAGAAAACCTGCCTCCACTACTGCTTCACCTTGATTCTCCCACCTTTCTCCTTCAGGCTCATGTTTGCTTTGATTTTCCTCACGGTGCTTGTTTTGGTCACTTGTAACATAGGCTGAGACCGGTGGGAGGAGGACCCCTTAAAAGTTGAGGATAAGAAGGGACGTTGTTGTGTCTCCTCACTCACATGTAATCTCCTCATTTACCCACAAAGCTCCCCTTCTCACCTTTACCACAGAATCTTGATCCTGTTGTGATGCCTTTGGTTTAAATGTCCATGATAGCCTAAGTGTTCATGTTCTTATGAAAAGGAAATCATTCTTATTTTTATCTTTTGTTTACCAAAGAGAATTGCACTTGGTCTTATTCCATCATTCCCAAATAGAGTATAGGTGAAAGATCTCCCCCCAACCCTACTGGTGATTGCAATACCAGAATGAATGATAATTCTAATATATTAGTATTTTTTTTGAGATAATGCCAAAAGTCAGTACTTAACATTGTTAATTTATTGAAAAATATTCAGAATTTATTTTTTTAAAAAGTCAATAAACTAAATAATACATTTAAATACTATAGCTTTTAAATACATTAGAAAATATCAAGTAAAAACAAATATACAAAAATATAAAGTTTAAACACATTTCAGTCTAATATAAATTCTTAGATCACATTAATAGAGAACTCAAAATGAAACCAAGAAGAGTATAAAGTGAAAATAATCTATTAAGCATGAAAACCTGAAGGAAATAGTATACTGATTTTTAATATAATCTTGTGAAGGAAAATGCGTCAGCACTTCAGTCGTGTCCGACTCTGTGCGACCCCACAGATGGCAGCCCACCAGGCTCCTCCGTCCCTGGGATTCTCCAGGCAAGAATACTGGAGTGGGTTGCCATTTCCTTCTCCAATGCATGAAAGTGAAAAGTGAAAGTGAAGTTGCTCAGTCGTGTCCGACTCTTAGCGACCCCATGGACTGTAGCCTACCAGGCTCCTCTGTCCATGGGATTCTCCAGGCAAGAATATTGGAGTGGGTTGCCATTTCCTTCTCCACATAAGTGTCATAATTGAGTCCTAATTTAGTACAAATTTTTCTAGCTTTTCTTTTGAAAAGCCCTGTTTGATTTTGTACCAGCTAAGGAATGATAAAGAGAAACATACAAGCTACCTTTAAGTTTCCTCTGAATCCTTCTTCTTGATCTTCAGATAATCCTACCTCTTCTTTATGATGGAGGGCTATAGTCCATAGGGTTGCAAAGAGTCAGACATGACTGACTGTCCATGGGATTCTCCAGGCAGGAGTGCTGGAGTGGGTAGCCATGCCCTCCTCCAGGGGATCTTCCTGACAGAACCCTCGGTCTTGTGGCTCCTGCATTGCAGGCAGATTCTTTACCGCTGAGCCACCAAGGAGGCCCATTTATGATGGAAGAGACCCTTTTTGAGCAACTTTTTCTTTTTTGCTGACTGCAGCTATCATTTTTTGTTATTAAAGAGACATTTTTACATCATCTTCTCTAGTCTCATCACAAAGATAAAGATCTTGATGCGGAGTTATTTATATCTGTTTCAGTATTGTTATGTTCATTTCCTTTTATTTGGAAAGTCTGTTCTTGGCATAGATGGTGTGCTTAGTCAGGGTCATTTTTTTCTTTCTTTTTTTTTTTTGAAGATTATAGAGATACAGAAGAACAAAATAGGGAGATAATAGAAAAGTGTTCAGAATGTCAGTGCAGTGTGTAACTGGGCAGGGAATAGTGTTATTCAGCAAGCATTTTAATATGTTGAATAGTTTCATCATCCTGATCTCAGATTTTTAAAATAAGCAAAACTCTATCCCCTACTGCCTGTGTTGGTTTCTTTGACTGTAGTTCTTTCTCTGGGGCGGCCTCAGGCACAGCCTCCTCTGACATGCTGGCCCCACTGTAGAGTAGTACTTCCCTGACCTGATTGGCTCCCCTTAAGAACGTTCAGAACCACCACTCTGTGCAGCATCTGACTCTGCCCGTGCCGGCAGTTTTCATTTCTTTCCCATGCAGCCTTCTTACCTGGCCTCAATTCCTCTCATTCCCCAACCTAGTGATCTGTCTCAGGGAGCTTTTCCCTGTCAGGTCTATTCTCTACTCTTTTATTCCCCCATCTTTGGAGAAAGTAGAAAGTGAAGTGGGACATGTATCTTTAAGAGGTCAGAGAAGTTGGACAGGGATAGTAGAGAATGGATGGGGGACCCTGGAATTATAGGAGTTGAGTGATAAACGGGCTAGGAGGGCTTATGGTGAAAGAACCATGGGTGGGGACCCATGGAATAAGCAGGGAAGGGAAAGGATGGAGGAGTCTGGTGAGTGGGACAGGAAGGCCAGGGAAGACAGTGACCTTGTCTGAAGAAACAGCAGTTTATAAACAATACCAAAGGTTCTTTTTTTTTTCAACGTTCCTTTTTAAAATATAATGTGCCATACCAGGATGGCGCACTAAATACCAACACTCAGTAGCCATGGGTTTTTTTTTTTCCTTTAATCCTTTTTAGTCTTCAAATTGTCTAAGAGATCTCAAAAATTTTAAGAATGGGAGGATATTTTTGTGATATATTTATGTGTTGTCACTTTAAAAAGTTTTTTTGAATTAGCAGTAAGAAGTTTTTATATGGATATATGGAATATAATATTATTAAAAAAATAATATGAGCATTAGTCTTATTTTCTGTTTAGCAATTGGGTTTTAAGATTGATATGATATACTTTGTGTGTTGGATTTTAAGTCTAGAAAACATGATTTAATCTGAAAGATACATGATGACAAACAAAATCTTATTGTCCTGGGTACTCTTAAATTCTTCTGCAGTGATAAACCTTAAAACTATCAATGTCACTTATCTCTGAACTGAAAAGAAAGTACATAGGGCATTTGTTTTCTTCCATGAAGAAATATATTAACTAAGACTTTGCCTGTTTTATAGGGTAAAATTTTCTATCAGAAAGACTGTAATTTAATTTATGACACAAATCAGAAAAGCCAAATATTCTCTAAGGTGGTTATAGAAATATGAAAATAATGACCAAGAGTAGAAATGTGTCATCACAAGTATCCCATACAATTAAAAACGTAAAACGAGTTAGATAATTAAGATGTAAATAAGACAACTATCTATATGGAGTTCACTTGTGGTTTTGGTGGGAGTGGGGGTGGAGGAAAAACTAGCATTCATGTCAGTGAATTATTATTTTGCATTGAACAAAGACAGAGTAGAAGGTATTTTATTCTGTAGGAGTATATAATTTTCAAACCATTTCAATTAAAGCTGTATTGATATTAATGGTATCTATGTTAAGGAGGTAAATCTACTAAACAAGCTGAGTTGTGGTCTCTAATCCTGAGTCACCTAGATAGTTTCCCAGAGTCATTACTAATCTTGTCTTTGTGACATAACATGTTGTCTTCACTTATCTTAAAATTGTATCATGAAATCCTGAGGTAAAATTGATATTGTCTTCATAAAACCATGTGCCATGTATATCAAGACTTCTTTCTCTCTTAATCTAATCATATAAATGTGTAATATGCTTATGTAATTTAATTAAATGTAATCTATGCTTACTAAGCATAATATTTATGATTTTCACATTAGTATTCTGAATAGCACAATAAAAAAGTAAATGCTTTCTACCATTCATTTACAAATCTGTAGTGAACAAAATGTATCCGCCTAGTAGATTTTGTTTTTTCCAACTTTACTGAAGTAAATTCATATGTCATAAAACTCCACATGGTAGGTTTTTAGGAAAGACTTTTTTGGAAAAAGAAGGAAACTGTTTCACTGATTATCTCTCCACTGTAATTACAGCAGCTGTTTTCATTTTCTGGAATCTCCTTTCATTCATCTTGTAGTTTTTTTTTTTTTTTAAGAAGGAGACGTTTGTCACAAATATTATAGCAAGACCATGTCCATTTCCAAGAGGATTGGAGTCATGACCCCATTGGATAAAACTAAACAAATAATTTAATTTTAAATTCTTCTATATTTACTCTGTTGTAAAATGGGAGTCATCCTTGGACTGAATCTCTTTTTTTTTTTTTAAGTAATTTTATATTTATCACTTTACAGAAGAGTGATAAAGATAGTATAGAGTTGCCATATATATCTTTCACCAAGTTTAGTTAGCATTTACATAACTGTGGTATAATGATCTAAAAAAATTAACACTGGTACAATACCATTAATTACATTACAGACTTTATTCCAATTTCACCAGTTTTCCAACCATATCCTTTTATCCTGAGTCTCTTCTTAATCTGAAAACTTACTATCTTTGTTTCCTGTATGTTAAATACTCCTCTTCATGGTCCCCATTAGAAGATGAGCGTGTATATAAAACATAGGACTTGCTCTTTAGTTGTTGAGCTTTTGTCCAGATTTCTCTGTGATGGTGTTTGTGGCGGGTGCATCAGGCATTGTGGCGGGTGCTTGGGTTAATAAATGTGTGCAGCATGGCTCCTACCCTCAGGAATTTGCATTCAAGTCAGGGACTCAGCATACAAGATAATCCATTTCCTTCTCTCTTCTTTGCCCACCTGAATCTAACCATTCTTCAAGACCTAGGTCAGTTCCCAAACCTTTCACGAAATCTTCACCAATTCAAACTCCCAATGAGAGTCCCCTTTTTTTGAACTTCATTTACATTATTTAGTGGTAGGATATATACAGTTTTATTCTTTTGTCTCCTTAATTGGATTTTAAATTTTTTGTGAACAGGAATCATTTTCCTGTTACCTTTTGGATCTTACCAACACATAATGCATTGTTGTTGGTTAGTCTCTAAGTCATATCCAACTCTTTGCGACTCCATGGACTGCAGCACTCCAGGCTTCCCTGTACTTCACTCTGTCCTGAAGTTTGCTCAAACTCATGTCCATTGATTTGGTGATGCCATCCAGCCATCTCATCCTCTGTTGCCCCCTTTTCCTTCTCCCCTCAATCTTTCCCAGCATTAGGGTCTTTTCCAATGAGTTGGCTCCTCACATTAGGTGGCCAAAGTTTTGGGGCTTCAGCTTCAGCATCAGTCCTTCCAATGAATATTCAGGGTTAATTTCCTTTAGGATTGACTGGTTTGATCTCCTTGTCCAAGGGACTCTCAAGGGTCTTCTCCAATAATGCATTAGTAGGTTCATAATAGATGCTGGAAGTATGTGTCAGTTCCCTTGACTCTAAGGCTTTTTAAGCTCTAAGGTTTTTGTTTTTAAAAAAAAAAGGAGAGAGAAAGGGACAAACATAGAGGTAAAAACAAAAAAAATGATGAAAAGCTTTGCTTTTCCTCTTTACAGCTGCCAGATATTGGTACTACTTTTGGTTGTTTACAGGTTATTTGTTTTTGGGGAAGAGGGTATCTTTTAAGGGCTGTGGAAATTATCAGGGAAAGACAAACTGTACAACAGGGAAGATAAGCAAGCTAGTTTATCTAGCAGCCTTGCTGTTTACTTACAGTTCCCTCTCTTACAGATACTGCAGGAGAAGAGGCTGGGTTCGATCCACACTCATTATGTCTGTTCCACAAACGAGTACTTCCAAAGGGAAAGTCATGCTTAAAGAGTACAGTGGGCGCAAGATAGAAGTAGAGCACATTTTTAAGTGGATAACTGCTCATGCAGCTTCTCGGATCAAAACCATTTATAATGCTGAACGCTTGAAAGAAGAATGGAATAAAAGTGATCAATATTGGGTAAAAATATACCTATTTGCAAACCTGGACCAACCACCAGCTTTCTTCTCTGCACTAAGCATAAAGTTTACTGGAAGAGTTGAGTTTATTTTTGTAAATGTGGAAAAGTGGGACAACAAGAGTTATATGACAGATATCGGTGTCTATAACATGCCATCATACATACTTAGAACTCCCGAAGGAATTTACAGATACGGAAACCACACAGGCGAGTATATATCTCTTCAGGCCATGGATTCATTTTTGCGCTCCTTACAACCTGAAGTAAATGATTTGTTCGTTTTGAGCTTGGTTCTCGTTAACCTTATGGCTTGGATGGACTTATTTATCACACAAGGAGCTACCATCAAGCGATTTGTGGTTCTCATAAGCACTTTAGGGACCTATAATTCTCTATTAATTATCTCCTGGCTACCTGTGTTGGGCTTTTTACAGCTCCCTTACTTAGATAGCTTTTATGAATATAGCTTAAAATTGTTGAGATATTCCAATACCACCACATTGGCTTCATGGGTAAGGGCAGACTGGATGTTTTATTCCTCACACCCAGCCTTGTTTCTTAGTACGTACCTTGGACATGGTTTACTAATTGATTACTTTGAGAAGAAGAGACGGCGCAACATCAACAGTGATGAAGTCAATGCTAATAACTTAGAATGGTTATCAAGTCTATGGGACTGGTACACCAGCTACCTCTTCCACCCGATTGCTTCTTTCCAGAACTTTCCTGTAGAATCTGATTGGGACGAAGACCCTGACTTGTTCTTGGAGCGATTAGCTTTTCCCGATCTTTGGCTTCACCCCCTGATACCGACCGATTATATTAAAAACTTGCCGATGTGGCGATTTAAATGTCTTGGAGTCCAGTCTGAAGAGGAAATGTCAGAGGGTTCTCAAGATATTGAGAATGACTCAGACAGTGAGAGCACAGACACTTTGAGCAGTGAGAAGGAAGTGTTTGAAGATAACCTGAGCATCATTCACAGTTCTCCAGGAAGAGCAAGTCACTGTGATGCTAAGGCTTGTTCCTGTGCCAATAAATATTGTCAGACCAGCCCTTATGAAAGGAAGGGGCGGTCCTATGGATCTTATAGCGCTAATGAAGATATGGAACCTGATTGGTTAACTTGGCCTGCTGATATGCTGCACTGTACTGAATGTGTTGTATGCCTAGAGAATTTTGAAAATGGATGTTTGCTAATGGGGTTGCCTTGTGGTCATGTGTTCCATCAGAATTGCATTGTGATGTGGTTAGCTGGGGGCCGACACTGTTGCCCTGTCTGCCGGTGGCCTTCTTATAAAAAAAAGCAGCCATATGCACAACACCAGCCCTTGTCAAATGACTTCCCATCTTAACCATGTGCAATTTGTCCTTTATAAGCTTTGCATATCTTACAGCCTGCCTTTTTAATGTTAGTCACAATGTTTTTGTGGTTTGACGTTTAGGTTAATGTTAGTGCAGTGACAGGAAATACACATTATGCTAATGTTGATGACAATTATTTGGTTGCCTTGTATGTCAATTTGAATGCATACTTAATTGTAAAAATTTTTATTTACAACATTGGAAATTCAGAAGTTAATGTTCTTTTGTAAGCACAAAGGAAGTATGATAGAAATTTATCCTCTCAAGACTTTACAAGGTAGGATCAAATTCTAATGGAATTGAGGCAGTTTCTTATCCTACATGTTTCCTTGCTTTTTACAATTTCTGTCCAGCACCTCTTGGTTAAATAATGTATGCTCTGAGACATGAAATTAAATCAGACCTATGAAATAAATTATTTTAAAACCAGAAGATTACAGTTTTTCTAATGTTAGATTGTTTTTAATAAGGTGGCTGAGTGCTCTAAATGTTTTGCTTGTTTGCTAATTTCACAGTTGAGTCAGATACGATTCTTGATTCATGTGGCGGAGGTGGGGTGGTGGGGGAGACAGATTATGTTGCTGACACCGACCAGTCCTCCTTGGTTAGCTTTGATGGGAAGAAATTTCATGGTGGGTGTTTTTAAAAGTATTAAATCATTTACGAGTATATTCAAGTAAACAAAATCAGTTATAGCATACTAGCCACACATAGATTAGTTGATATATTTTTCCTGACTTTTTATTTTGAAAAAAATTTTTAACTATAGAGAAGTTGGAAACATAGTACAGTGAACATTCATTTGTTTCATTCACCAGGTGTTTACATCTTGTTACATTTTCTTTGTCTCCTCTATGTCTATAATCTTTTTTTTCTTTTCTCTTTTTTTTTCCTGATTCCTTTGAGAATAAATTTCAGTTATCATGATGCTTCCATACCATTAAATGTATCATCATGTGTCTCCTAAGAACAAAGACATTTTTTACACATCCACCACACCATTATCACACCCAGGAAATGTAATGTTGATTTAATAATATCTAATACACAATTCATACTCCCCAGTTGCTCCCAAAATATTCTGTATCTTTATATGTTTCTGTTTTGTTTTCATTGGGAATTCAGACAGGGTTTATGCATTGGGTTTAGTCTCTTTTCTTTCATTCATTTCTCTAGAGCAGTCCCCCCTGCCCTACCCCCTGCCTCCCCCCCCCCCCCTTTTTAAGTCTTTTCTGACATTTTTGCAGAGTACAGGCTAGTTGTCTTATGGAGTGTTCCACATTTCTGGATTTGTCTTGAGTGTTTCTTCATAATTAGATTTAGATGAAAGAACTTTGTCTAGGTGGTTTCTATTTCTCATTTCTATAACATCAGGAGTGCATGATATCAGTTCATCCCATTGTTGATGATGCTGAATTTGCTCAGGTAATACCTGCTTTATTTTTGCAATGTAAGGTATTTTCCACTTGATAATTAAGAAGGAATCTGTGAGGCCGTGTGAGTATCCTGTTCTTCAGCAACCTTTAACCTAATGGCTTTAACATCGGTTGATGATTGTTAGCCTGAATCTGTTACTAAATAGGAGTTGTGATATGGAGATTTTTAAATTCTGTCCTTCATTCTGCATTTAATAGTGGCATTTTTTTGTGTGTATAGAGGAGCTTTCCATTTTTTCATTTCATACTTTGAAATGTCACTGTAGATCAAGATTCTTTTTATATTCAGCATGTTAAAATTCATTATTCTTTTTGATGCATAAATCATTCCAAATTTGGTAAGCGGGAGCCCCTCTAAGCTCGTTCTTATGTCCTGTTGACGTCCCTTTCAATCTTGAAACACTTCATTGCTTTTTGACACAAGATATTCCAGACTCACTTTGTATTTTCCCTGGCCCAACCCTGTAATATGTCATTTCTTCAAAGCATCCAAATTTCATGGGGGACTTTTTAATATCCTTTACCTTCTGTCCCTCAAAATGGTAAGAAAATTAAATTTTCTCTTTCTGAATTGCTGCTGAGTTGCTAGCAGAAACATTTTTTTCCTTCATGGTGCACTGAGCCTCATTTTCATACAGGAATGGGAATAGTAAGGAATAGCGGTTACTAACTTTGTATTAATATTCAGAAGCTTTTTAAAATTTTTAAATAAAGAGTATAAGCACTGCTCCTTGTACTCTTATTTTCCTTTTGGAAAAGAAAATAATGTTACTGTAAATGTTTCCTAGAGTTCTGCCGTTGGTTCACTGTTCTTTTCTCTCTGGTGTTTTCAGCAGATGTCCCAAATCACCATGTTCAGGCACAGACCCCTCCCCAGATCTTCAGTTTCATGTATAGCTGTCTGCTGAACAGCTCCTTCTAAGTGCTCTTAAGTAGTTAGTGAGTCTCAAAGCAGCTCTTCCTTCTCTCTCCGTATCCCCTAGTCTTCCTCTTATGGTCCTGATTTCAATTCTTACATATAATATTGTCCGTTATGAAGTGTATTTTATGGAAAAGGAAATGGCAACCCACTCCAGTATTCTTGCCTGGAAAACCTCATGGATAGGGGAACCTGGTGGGCTACAGTCCATGGGGTCACAATTCAGATACGATTTGGCAACTAAATCACCACCACCTTCTTGACTGTCTGGATTGTGCTGTGCGGGCTTCCGTAGACTGTTTCCTTCGGTTACGTTTTAACATGGCGGCTCCCTTTCCGGAGATCGGAAAAGTGAACTGTGATGGCAAAATCTAGTACTGGCCAGCCGACGAGCCTGTAAGGAGAAGAGAGTGGACCCGGAATTAACTGTCAGAGACCTTCCAGATGAGGCCAGCAACTTTCCTCAGATATTACAGGGCTTCTGTTTGGAAACCAGCCTTTTAAATCCTGCTATGATGCCAAGAGGTAGCCCAGCAAATCACAGCTTGCCTTGCTCTTTGCCACTTTTTTGTGTGGCCATCTCTGACGCCTTATGCCGAAGCTGATGTGGCGCAGCACCAAGTTGCGGCACTAAGAGTGTGCTTGTTAACTGGCACTGCGGAAAAAGTCTCCTATCTTTCATTGTCTGTGTAAAGCTACTTCTTTTCTGGGCAGTAGTTAATTTGTTGAAAATCTATGGAAGTGTTTTCACAGTTGGGTTGGGAGGAAAGTGCTAAATAGAAATATGAACTGTTCTAAGGTGCATACCAAGACACTTCTAAGCTCTAGTTTCATAGAAACCTCGGTCTCCTCCGTTGCTTTATTAGCATGCGTTTGATCCAGAAGGTGGCATACAGAACCTGAATTTCATTCAGCGAAGGTTAAAAGAAAATCCACATTTTTTGTGATTGGAAACTAAAGTATGCAGTTTTAAGAGGCCATGTTTAAAGACTTCATGTTTATCCCTGTTATTGGGAACATTACTTTAAAGCTGTGAAAGATGGGGGTCGTGATAGCTTCCTACTTAGTGAAAACCTGAAGCCCGAGATACTTAGAAAATCCTGCCCTAAGCCCATGTTCGTTCCCCAGGTAACACGATGATGATCAAAGCTGCCTATTTCCTAGTAAAGAGAATTGTGAAACTTAAGGATAACCATGAGGCCTTCTTCCCCTTCCACACACACTTGTTTCCACTGCCCATCAAAGTCATCTTGACTGACTTCATTGGAGTCAGGGGTCAAGAAAACCTAAATGGATGGTTTAAGAGGTCAATCTGCTGTGTATTGGCACTTCAAAATAAGTCCCACGGTTGAAGATTCCAAAAAGGTGACTCTCCAGTTGGTGACAGTCTCTCAGATCAGGGCTCTCATGGAAAGAGAAGGTAATCCTCTTCTGAATTTGAGATGGAATCTAGCCTGCTGGTACTTTCCCAGGAATTCATTCCCAGGCCAGCCATGTCACTTAGGCTCATGAGACAATACCTAGTGAATGTCTACTCACTCGTGGGAATGTGAATGTTCTATAAATTCGTGGTGTGAGGTATTCCTTTGGATACATACATCAAGTGGGATTGCTGGACTAGATGGTAGTTCTCTTTTTCATTTTTTGAGGGGCTTTCATACGGTTTCCCATAGGAGCTGTACCAATTGAATCTTGAACCAAATCAGTTACATGAGTGGTTCTCAGGCCACTTTTGATTGTCGCTTCTTTTCAGGAGAAGTACTGTAGAGATTAGAGGCTCAAAGCGGGAAGGAGTTCACTAATCAGGAAAGATGGAATGACTGGCTACATATGGACCTTCGTTGGGGTGCCTAAAGCCTAGAGGTGGGGAAGGGGCTGGGAAGAGTGACCCTCTGTAGAGCTGCTGTCAGAGCAAAAGAGAAAGCTGGACAGGAGGATATAGGCCCTCAGTGTGAAAGGTGCATTGGACTTTCTGTGGTCAAAAGTGTCTCCTACCTATTTCTCAATCCCTGGTACTGCCTGAGATCATTGTAGCAAGGGGACTGACCATAATAGTTCACATCGCTGAGTGTGACATGAGAGTGGATTCCTGTCCGGCAAAGGTGAGACTCTCATGATGAAGGCTTTACCCTATGTGGCAGCATTCTTCAGAATTCTGGACTTCACTGTTAGGGATGTTCTAGTGTTCCTGCCTCAGTCTGTGCACTGCCTTAGGCTGTGAAAAGCAACTCAGGAAAGGTGACCTTTCCCCCTCCTATACTGTGGCCTAGAGCAGTAGTCTGAGAGGATCTCCTGGGAGGCGCCTGCTGACGTTGACTACACTTGGTTAAGTAGACCGCTCAACTCTTCCGTTGAGACTTCCTGTGGCCTAAAGAGGCACATGAATGTGAACTGCTGCTGCTGGTGTGTTCTACTGATACACCAACCAGACACTTCTTCCTTTGACACTCACACACCTCAGGTGCCTTGCTAAAGTTCTAAAGAAGGTGCATATTGGCATTGGCAGCATGTGATGCATGGGAAATGTTCAGTCTTTGGCAGAAGTTGGCGGTAGCCTGATGTCAGAATTCTGTGCCATTGTGCCGAGCGAGGGCACTTTGAGAATCCTGAGGAGTCCCAACTCTGTCTGTCAGAA